TATTTTCTACAAATGGTTTTGAGGGTTATTTAACTGGAAGTATTACACCACCGGTTGCGTCTCCGACTAAATTGAATCCTCCAAACCTTCATCTCTGGAAGCTTATTGACCAAAACCTGATTTTTTCTTTATTATCTACAATTTCTAGTTCAGTACTTCCATACATCCTTTCATTATCCACTGCTTGTGAGATTTGGATAACCCTAGAAAGATGCCTCCAGCTGACAAATCGATCCCATGTAATTCAACTTAAGAATGAATTACACTATATTCAGATGAATGAACTAACCATGAATTAATGTTTAGCTCAAGTCAAAGCTCTAGTGGATAATATAGCTACTTTAGGAGGCCACATAGATGTTGAAGATGTTATTTTACATAATTTGAATGGATTGCCTTCCATTTACAATCCATTCAAATCTGATATTCATACTACCCAGTAGACAATTAGCTTGGATACACTATACTCACCTTTGTGCAATGAGGAAATTAACTTACAAAATGAATATCAAGAGGATACACCAACACCTTCTGATCATACTGCTCTATGGATGAACTGTTCTAACACACCTCATGGCAAGTCTGCTACATAGGGTAGAGGCAGAGGAGCTCCATTTAGAACAAACATATCTTGATCAAATTTCAACAATATGTAGTATGAACCAAACTCCAACAATCGCCTTTTCAATCCATTCAATGTTTGTCTGACCTGTCAGATTTGTGGCAAGATTGGACATGTTGCTCTTAACTGTTGGCATCCCTATAATATGCAGTATGCACTAACCTCATCCAACTCCAATCCTTGTGCATCACTCACGAACTAGAATAGTTTGGTGACTTCTCTGGTAACTGAATGGGTGTTAGACTACATTGCATCTTCTCATCTTACATATGATGCAAATCATATGCATTAACCTACACCATATATGGGAACTGATTCTGTCTCAGTGGCCATTGGTGGAACACTTTCTATACCTCAGGCCATGAATGGAATTCTTCTACTTCCAGAAACAAATTATAAGCTTATCTTCAATATCTACTTCATGTTCCATTACTTTCCCATAACCTTCTTTCCATTTATAAACTAACATCTGACAATAATTATTCAATTTTGTTTAATGCTCGTGGATTCCTTATCAAGGATCTTTCAGACAATAGCATTCTTCTTCGTGGTCTATCTCAAGATGGCATCTATCCTGTTTAAACTATATCCTTCAATCTCCCCAAAGCTCTTCAATCCACAGTTCGCTCCATAGAACCATGGCATGCTCTTCTTGCTCATCCCAACATTAGGGCTTTAAGAATATTAGCTAATGTAGTATCTTATATATGTACTCTTGCTACTTTTATATGTACTTCTTGTAATGTGGCCAAGAGCCACAAACTACCCTTTTCTTTATCTCAAAGTAATGCACTTAAACCTTTTCAATTTATACATTCAGATGTTTGGGGACCATCTCCCATTCATTTTATGGTTTTCATTACTACATTATGTTTATAGATGATAATACTCGTTATACATGGTTTTATCTTATGCATTCCAAGGATGAGACCTTCTTTAAATTCAAACATTTTTATCAACTCATCAAAAATTCCTTCAACTCTTCCATTCAAATGCTACGGATGGTGGAGGTGAATACACCAGTCATCTCTTTCAAACATTTTTATTTTAGTGAGGTATCACTCACTAATCCAGTTGTCCTTACACTCTAGAGCAGAATGGTCTTGCCAAATGCAAGCATCATCATCTGCTTGAGACTGCTCGAGCTCTTCTTCATGCTTCTCATGTCCTTCATATCTTTTGGGCTGAAGCTCTCTTAGCTTCCAACTATCTCATTAACATCCTTCCAACCAAACTCGCAACCTCCATGTTCCTTATCAATTGTTACATGGTAAACTTCCTTCCTACATGCACTTGAAGACATTTGGTTGCTTATGCTTCACTTGGATTCAACCTCTTTCTAATGATAAATTATCACCACGCTCTCATGAGTGTATTTTCCTAGGTTACTCTTCCTCTCACAAGGGTTATCGTTGTCTAAATCTCCACACTAATAAAATTCTTGTCTCATGTCATGTTGTCTTCTATGAAAACATTTTTCCCTATAAATCCCAACCATCTCCACCAACAAGTACCTCCACAAATCCACCTCAAAATCCCCTTCCATTAACTCCAAATTTTTATTCCTATAGATTCTATTACTAAGCCTTAGCACTTCCGTCCACCATCAACTATTCCTGCATAGTAGCTCACTCAATAAACTAGTTCCACTCCTCTTCATCAATCTCCCTAATCATCCGAAATTCCTAGTTCTCATTCCACTAATTCTCATTTTCACCATCACTACAACAAACTCAACCACCTCCCATTTCGGTTCATCATATGCAAACACGGCAAAAAATAGGTCATCAACGACCAAAAGTTATCTTTAATCTCCTTACTGTTCCACATTTGCATTTTACTCCTACCTCCTATAATTAAGCACTCAAATATGAGTCATGGAGAAATGCTATGTTAGATGAATTTCTTGCCCTATAGAAACAAGACACTTGAAGTCTCCAACCCCCACCTACCAACAAACCCATTCTGGGATGCAAATGGATCTTCAAATTAAAAACAAAACCCGATGGAAAAATTGATTATTATATGACACGGTTGGTTGCACAAGGTTTTAATCATGAGCATGTGATCAACTTTAAATAGACTTTTAGTCCGGTGGCCAAGTTACCCACAATTCGACTTTTGCTTCTTCATGCTCTTCACCGTAATTGGCTAACTTTGCAATTTGATATCTCTAATGTGTTTCTCCATGATGATCTTTATGACGAGGTTTATATTAAGCAACCTCCTAGTTTTGTTGATACTCAACATCCACATTATGTATGTAGACTTCATAAGATAATTTATGGTCTCAAACAAGCTCCACACTAATGGTATACCAAGTTCACACAGTCACTACTTCAATTTGGATTCATATTCAGCAAGGCCGATCCCTCACTTCTTATTTATCGCAAGCCTAACATTCAACTTTATCTTTTAATTTATGTGGATGATTTACTACTCACTGGTAATCATCCTGCCACTATTGATCGCTTGCTTCATGTGCTCAAGTCAACATTTTCTCTTAAGCAACTTCGTTCAGTGGACACCTTACTCGGCATCCAAGTTCAGAGAACACCTACTGCTGTAATCCTTCATCAGACTAAATATACCACATCATTACTGAATTCGGGTGGTTTTACAAATTACAGTTCGGTACCTACACCCATTACATTTAAGCCATCCAAAATAGCTTCGGATGATCAACCATTTTCTAATCCTCAACTGTATTGGCGCCTCGCTGGTCGCTCAACTACCTTACGATCACACGACCAGATATCGCCTTTGCAGTAAATTCCATCTGTCAACATATGCATAGCCCGACGAATGCTGACTTTCTAGATATTAAACACATAGTTAGATATATATAGTGGACAAAATTTTATGGACTTCCTCTAGTGCCGGGCAATATGTAGCTTACTACATATGTGGATGTCGATTGGGCCTCTGATTCAGCTGATAGGAAATCGGTAAGTGGTTTTTGTTCCTATCTTGGACCAACTCTCATTTCATGGTGTATTAAAAAGCAAGTAATTGTGGTCAAATCTTCAACTGAGGTGGAATATAGAGCTCTATCTTCAGCAACATCTGACATACTTTGGCTTCGTCGGCTATTGTAAGAATTATCTATACCTCAACTAACTCATATGCCAGTGTATTGTGATAATACTTCGGCTATTTCCTTAGCTCAAAATACCGTCATTCATGCTTGTACGAAGCATATTGAGATAGACTACCATTTTATAAGTCAACATACTCAAACTGGTGCTATCTCCATTCTTCATATTAATTCCTAGGATCAATTAGCCGACATACTCACCAAACCATTGCCCCCTCTTACATTTTCCCTGCTACGTGACAAACTAACCATTTGCTACTCAAATGCTTAGTTTGAGGGGGGCTGTTAGAGTATACCTCAAGTTTAATTTACTTATCTTACTTCACCTATCCCAGCATGTTTGAGGAAGCAGTTCCACCTGTTGTGCAGACTGCAAATACCTGTTGCTTGCAGCTCCGTGTAGATATTGTTCCCTCTTCTTCTTTATATACTTGTATAAACTGCACAAGGATGCTTTAAGGAAGATGAATAATTTTGAACTTTATTCTATTCCTCTGTTGGCTTGTTTCTAACTCTTAAATGCTGGTTGCTCTCACAACCAACATTTATAAAGATAACAACTTCGTACTGTGGACACCTTTCTTAAAGCATCCTTGTGCAGTTTATACAAATATATAAAGCAACATTTATAAATAAAGCAACATTTATACAGTTTTGATCATTATTGGATGGTCGGAGTAATTAAATTGTTATTAGATGATTATTACTGTCCTTCAAAGCCCTACTCACCACCCTAAAGACCAGTATGAAAGAAACCTTAAGCTGATTGTTCCATCATATTGAAGTGATCCAGATTCCCCATTAGGACCCATTGTCATCAATGATTGAATTGAATATCTTTATTATAATTTTAAGAGAATCCTTACTAATAATGAAAGTTATGTTAATGTATTGTTCTATTCTATATTTCTTAGCTTGAATCGGATTAGAGAAAACCTTCAATCAGCTTTAGGATTATTATATGGATTCAATAACAAAATACTAAGTGTGGAAGGAATAATCACTCTCTCTTACATTCTTTCAAAGTTTTGTCCATAGTTTGCACTAATTTACTTAATCTTGTTGGCTTGTGCAAGTAAAACTTATTAGAGGGCAGTAAATCTATAATGCTCCAGAAAGGTGTACTAGAAAGTCGGAGTGGAATGGAAATCCACGATATCTCAACGATTAACTTTGAAAATCAGCTAGAAATTCTACAAATTGATGATTTGATAAGTGAAGCAATATGCAACTTACTTTAGACTGTTTGATTGGGAGTTTTGACTATCAATTAAAACCTCTTAAGTTTTAAGCCTGCATATATGATACGTGTATAAATTTGTCTTACAAAAATCTCCAGAATAACAAGCAAATCATTTAGCTGAATTATGTGTCAGCGAAGCTGCAGCATCCATACACTCAAATATCCTTTGTTTACATATAGAGCCTATATGTTGCCCAATAAGAACATGGCCAAAACAATGAAAATTCTCCAAGCATCTACGCATACTAAATTTGCTCAAAATTACTTAGCAAATGGTTCCATTCAACACATCATTGAATTGGTTCGGCAAGCTGAGCCAGTGACAGTCATCAAAGTTGCAAAAAGTAACACCCTGCAAAGATTCTACAACATCAGACGGCTTCAAGAAGAAGGAAGTCCATGTCGGAGTACCATCTTCATAGGAGTCATGTGTGAGACGCCTTATCTCAGTGCCATCGATATTTACTGTGAAAATTTCACCAGCTGGTTGGTAATGGTGAGGATTCGAGATAGGCTCTGATGAGATCCCAGCATACTCTGATGTGAACACCAAACTATTAGAGTCCGGGCCAAACCAAGGATGATTTGTCCTTCCTCCATCCCCACTATGAACAACTTTCCTCAATCCAGTTCCATTTGGGTGCACCAAGTAGATAGAGAAGCTTCCTTTTTCAGGGTTATCCCTATCAGAAGCAAAGGCAATCCATTCTCCATCAGGAGACCAATTACACATGGTGTCACTCCATGGACCTTCTGTGAGCTGGTAAATTCCTGCGCTTTCTCCTTCAATAGAATCCATTATATAGAGATTCTTGAAACCTGACCGGCCGGAACGAAACACCACCCACTTGCCATCGGGTGATGGAGAAGGAAAGGCATTGTTCTTCCCTCCTAAAGTTAGCTTCTTGACAAAAGGTTCAGCTTTGTCATCATCTTCGCTAAGAGTAATCGAAATGATATCAACTCCAGCACTTTCTTCAGCAAAAGAAGGACCATGGCTAGTGTAAATAACCCCTTTTCTCTTCCAATCCCAAGCAGTAGAAAAAGCATTACCACTGTAAACCTCTCGAGGATTAGAGCCATCAGAATTGACAACATAGACGCTATGAGAACTCACATAGGCAATTCGCGTGCCATCAGGTGAGAAAGAAGGAAAAGTCCCATCAATTCTGAACAGTGAGAATGTATCCGGGGACACGCTTTTGATGTTCTCCAGAAGCCATGGGGGGTTGCCGTTGTTCTGGCTGCCTCGACATCTATGATAGCCAATCCTGCGGGCATCCGGAGAGAAGAAGGGGTTGAAGTGGTGAGCATTAGGGGAAATAACTCTAGTAACCTCAATATAAGCATTCCTTCCATCTCTGACATCTATGAGCTCAATGTGCCGAAACTGGGAGCTGGTTCTCCTCGTCGCCACGGCTATAAGCTCTGGAGCAGTCGCACTCACCGCCGGGGTGAAGGCATGAAAGCCTGGTGGAGTTATCCTGTCAATGGAGATCAGACCAGGGACATCTCCTTGAGTCGTTATAGCTGCTCTGTAAACACTCCACCATCCATCTGAGCTCTGACGATGGAAGTAGATGGTGGAATCGTCGGCCCAACAAGGCCATCCTCCATGCCTGACAACCAAAGTCCGCGCCGATGCATCGCTAGTTTTGAAGATGTAGATGTCAGTTTTCAGTTCCTGTACCTCCCCCGTCCATCCTCGCTCACCTGAAGAGGCGACTGCCGTCCATCGACCTGACGTGGAGACGGCGGGGCTGAAGTCGGCGATGCCATCAGGGGTGAGGCGGGTGGTGACGCCAGTAGGGAGGTGGGTGGAGTAAACCGCAGCCCAACTTTGCCTCGGAGAGTGAGAGCGCTCATGGGTGGAGACGAATATGAGGCGATCACCAAAGAGGGACGGACGGTCCTTCATGGAGACAGAGGGTCGGCCATCGGATGCGGGAAGAAGTGGGAACTGGAGTCGGATGGGAAGCTCTATTGTCTCGCGTCGATTTGATGGGGATGATGAGGTGGAGAAGAAGTCGACGTAGATGGTGGAGTGGCCTCCGCGCTCTGTCACATAGATGAGGGCGTCGATGGGTTCAGTGAGAACAGTATAAGAGGAAGGGTCGATGAGTGATAGGAGAGTAGAAGGGGATGAGGGGAAGAAGCCATTATAGTTGATAGAGACGCAATCTGTGAGCTGGAGCTCGGGCTCGGAGGAGGAGGAAGATATATAGGTAGCGAAGATGTCGAAGCCGTAAAGGCTACGGCCGAGAGTGGCAAAAACGATGGAGCTGGTGGCTCGGGTTGGAACAAAGAAGAGGAAGAAGAAAAGAAAGAAGCCGAGGTACAGAAGCAGCAGAAAAGTCTTCATTCCAGAGGAATATACAACCTCAATGCTTCAGCAACATTCCGGATGCATATATAACAGTGGTCTGTTGAGTTCCCTTCAATTCTAAGTGAGTGTGATGTGTTAATGAGTCATATTTGAGTCAGCAATAACTCGACTCGTAAGCAGCTAATTTCAGTGGAGCAAGCTGCTTTGGTCAATGGTAGATCATTAGGAGATCATAATCTAGTGGCTCAAGAAGTATTTGAAAAATTCAGGACTTCTAGGTCTTCAAAAAGCCTTGGTTAATTTAAGTTGATTTGGAACAAGCATATGATAGCATGTCTTGAAAAATCTTAAGACATGTTTTGGAATATTTTGGGTTTCCTGAAAAATTTTTTATGTGGATTATGGAATGTGTGGAACATCCAAAATTTTTTTTGATTAATAATGACAAGATTTATAGCTAGATTCATGCTAAGAGTGGGTTCCATCAAGGATGTCCACTTTCCCCTGTTTTGTTTATTCTATGCTCACAACTTCTTACAAATGGGTTGAAACAGAAAGAAGAATAATTGGGGATCAGAATTGGTAACAATGTGCCGAAGATTTCTCACCTACTATATGCAGATGATATCATAATTTTTTCTCATGCTAAAATCAATGAAGTTAAGGAAATAAAAGGCTTATTATCAGATTTATATAGCTGGACAGGGCAAAAGGTTAACGTGGAAAAATCAGCAATTTTTTTTTGGCATACATGTCAAGAAGAGAATAAGGAAATCTATTAAAAGGATTATGGGATTCAAGGTGGTGAAGGAATTTGTGTATCTCGTTGTTAAGATAGCATTAAGGAGGTTAGTTGTGGCTGATTTCCATTTTTTTAATGACAAAGCTTTAAGGTTAATTGGTGAGTTGGGAAGCAAGCTTTTGTCTATGGTAGGAAAATTCTTACTTATTAAAACAGTTATGCTTTCAATTCCTACTTTTTATTGCACTTTCTCATTGATCCCAAAAGGAATTCTAAAAGAGCTGGATAAGTTGAGTAGGGAGTTTATCTGGAAGAAATAAGATGGGAAGTTGGGTATGCATTATGTAAGCCGGAGCAATCTTTGTAAACCGATTAGAGATGAAGGAAGAGGTCTTCACTCGTGTGTTGGTGTTGTGGGTCCTTTGAGAGCAAAATTGGCTTGGAAGGTAATTCAAGACAAATGTTCTCTGTTGTACAAGTTTTTTATACCCAAATATGGGTTGTTTTGTGGTGAAATTGGTTATGGTAGAGGAGCTTCATCCACTTGTAAAATCTTATCTAGTGGTAACAAGGCTTTGAAATCAGTTGTTAAGTGGAGAGTGGTAAATGGTTGTTCCTTTTTTTTTTTTTTTTGATATTTTTGAGGATATATGGATTTCAGATAAATGTTTGAATAAATGGCCAACATTTGTTTCAGTTCCAGATTCTTGATTCAAATGGTAGAGAATTTGATTGTAAATGGTGAGTGGAACAATCTGGAATTACAAAGACGATTTGGAGAGGAGCTCATTAAACTAATTCAAAGGTTGGAGATTCAAAGAGACCAGGAAGAAGATTATTTGGAACTTATTCATCAAAATTCAGGTTATTCAATTTCTTCTCTTGTTTATAAAGAGTTGGTGATGCAAAATGCTGAATGTTTTTATTGGAAATGCTAAAAAAAATTTTAAGTTAAGATCTCGGGTGGAGGTATTCTAGTGGAGGATATTCAACAATGCAATTCCTACTTTCAATTTTTTATATCAAAGAAGGATTCAATGTGAATTTGGCTGTCCTAGAGGTTGCGGTTTAATAGAGGATTTTGATCATATTACAGCTAAATGTGGGAAGATGAAGGAAGTAATTGGCTATTTGAACAAATGGGGTTTTGGATTCCAGTTTTTGGAATCCTTTCATGATTGCTGGAATTGGATGGAGAAGTATAGTGAAATCCATGAGTTTCTCATTAATATATATTATAATGTAGTTTATCTAGCATGAGATCAAGGAACAAACTCATTCATGATGGAAAGGAAGATACCTCTATGTTCATAGCGTCAAATGTTGTAAGTTATGCTTCCATTTCTTTCATGATAAATGGAAATTTGGGACAAAGGAGTACTAATCAGTCTTCTAGACTGTTGGATCATTGGTATCGTCCTCCTCCCTATTTAATCAAGATCAATATAGATGCATCTTTGTTACAATCATACAAGGCTGGAATTGGAGGTATGGTTCAGGACAGCAAAGGAAGGTTTCTGCTGTTCTATGGTCACTCTTGTATTCATTGGGACATCTCTAATCAAGAACTCATGGCAGTTGAATTTATAGGAGAAATCAAGAATGATTGGATGCTAGATTACCAAGGTATCATTATAGAATGTGACAACTAAAATTTCATCAAGTTTTTGCAAATACTAGGAGGCAAATGGAGAGATGATCTTTTATGTTTTAAGGATCATAAATTTACTTTCTTTAATTGGGTTAATAGCAGATGTAATAAGTTAGCGAATCTTTGTGCTAACTGTGCTCTTTTTAGGAATTTTTATTGGGAAGATTTTTTGTGTAATAAGGTTCCTCCTTTGTTTTCAAAATTGTTGAAGGAGGAATCTAATTATGGTTTTAGTTTGTAATTAGATATGCTTTGAATAATAGTATCGGCAATTCGTTTTCCTTCTTAAAAAAAAGTAGTGAATTTGTTTAGGGTAAAATTTTGAATTAAATATGATTAACAATTTAATTATGTGATTAAGTATTATTAAAAAAAATAAACTAAGCAAAGTCGCCCGTTAAACATGTGACTTACCTGCTGACTCAGCACATCAAGTGTCAGGCCATTTAATTGGTACTGTAGCAAGTTGCCCATTTAACAGGCGGCTTGCTACAGTAACAGAATAATAAATTTTTTTTTTTTTAATTTCTTATTAAAATATTTAAAAAAAAGAAACTCAAATCATGCAAGGAGATCAAACATAATGAATATGGAAAATTACATTGCTTACCATAGTTCCTTCAAGCATTGTCTCATTTTCCATCTTTTATCATTTTATAATAATTATTATTTTAATCATAAGTGTTGCGTGCTAGAAATTTTGAGTCGGTAGAGTGTATATTTCACGTCTTAGTGGCACACAAAAATTTAGCAAAAACATATAAAAGTAGTAGGACCAGAGAACCTTTTACGTGAATAATCCGGAAAGGAAAAAATCACAGGGTCTAGCCCAGTTGCAAAGTCCAGTATGTAGTAAATGATACAAAGATTTTCCCTTCTTCACTATTGAAGAAGAGAAAGAGTAAAAAGATCAAATATTTACGCCCAACAACAGAGCATAATCTTTCCAGGAGGAATTTTAAAAAATAAGTGTACGAATGAAGACAAGTGTACCCAACAGCAGGGGTAAATCTTGATAATATTATAAGGATTACAGTGGTTGTCGTTGGTAGTAATTGGTGGTTGCCGGTGGCAATAGCTGATGGTTGTCAGTAACAATAGCTGGTGGTCGTCAGTAACGATGGTAGCTGAAAAATGCTATAGAGCTTTTCCTTCTTCTCTTTTTTTTCCATCCCTCGTGTGAAGAATGAGGGGCTATTTATAGTTTATTGAGAGTGACATGACTAATAAATATGGAGAATATCAAGGGCTTGTTGGGAGTGTTTAATCGAATGGCTCATAGTGATCCCCTTGATCATAAAGCGCTTATCAAACATTAAGATGCTATAGAGATGTTTGAATTGAGCAATTTTGGGCTCGGTTGATTTAGTTCATCGAGCCACTCGATTCAATTATAAGCATGCCATATTAAGTATCATTTGATCATCCAATTAATTCTTTGAAGCTTCCAAGAGAGCTTTGGTTCAGTGATTTGGGCTCAGGTTTTAACAAATTTGATGTAATCAAGTTTGTTTTATCGAAACATTTAGTTTAACTATAAGTTTGCTAAGATTGATGTTCGGATGATCACAAATTGAATTTTGATGATTTCCTATTCAAATATGTCTTGAGATTCATGAAAGATTAATTTGATTTTTGGTGATGTATCATTTGTGATGACGTATCATTTTCCCCTGTAGCTTATTATGTCGGAAAATATATTTTAAATCATTTATATATATATATATTAAAGCCATTTAACTCCCACCATGAATTCATGTAACTTTTATCCATAAATTTAACTTTATATTACTTTCTTTCATAAATTTATGTAACTTTCGTCCATAAATTTGTGACGCCCAAGGCATCTATATATTTCTTTTTCTTCTCGCTCAGATCAATACAGATATCCAGAAATGATAATTGCATTAAAGAAACGAATGCATCATAAAACTATAGATGCCTGGGATGTCACAAAATTTATGTAACTTTCCTCCATAAATCATCATACTCTCTCAATTATATTCATGAAACTCTTGTCCATTAATTCATGAAACTCCCTTTATGAATTCATATAAATTTCCTTCATGCATATTTCCTTCATGCATCATTATAATTATCTCATTTAAATTTCATGAAACCCTTCTCCTCCCACTTTAAGTATATATATTTTTTATGTGGGATGAATAATTTTACACCGCTTTTCATCTTCAATCTTCCTTTGTATTTCACTTATTTTATCTTATACTTCATTTTATATTAGAGGCATTATACTATTTTGGATCAAGCTCTAGTCCCCCTTTTTGTGTAGAAGTAGTATTTATCTTCCTTCTCCTTATGTTCTTCCCTTTTTCTTACATTAGAGGAATTCCATTATCTTGGATCAAGCTCCAGTGCCCCTCTTTTGTGTAGAAGAATGGATCTTTGTTTTTTTTTTTCTTTTATTCTCTACTTCTTCTTACATTAGAGACATTCTACTATATTTGATAGACGATATCCCCTATCAAATTTTAGTGCCCCTCTTTGTGTAGAAGGAAATTTTTCCTCATTCCATTCTATTTTCCTCTGTCTTTCTTCTTACATTTGAGACATTTCATTATCCGAGATAGATGGTGTAACATGACCTGCATATTGATAGCATCGTCGTGCTTTGATTTCAGTTGTAGGCTTTGGGGACCTGCTGGGCTTTGAAAGCTCATTATATG